AAGTAGTGCTTTTGAAAACTTCAATAGATTACTCTCTTGATTTATGGAAGTTAAATTCCTCAAAGAAAAGGCTAAGGCAATAGAGGTCAGACATTGTGCATTTGGCAACCGTAATAAATGTGTTTTGAAGTTTATCCTTAATACAACCAGTTCTAGATTTCATTGCTACAGTGGCAACTCGACTGCAGCTTCTCTTTCTTGTCTGTTTGCATGTATGTAATGTCTCCAGTAGGAGGACATGCTTCAAATCAAGCAATATACAACAATGGGCAGGACTGCTAGATACCTATGATCACTCTGAATATGCATGATAACTGGAGGAAAATGTAATTGATTGATTCTGTTTTACAGAATTGTAAAGAACTGAAATTGATTGGAAGCGATTGCATGTCCTCCACAAATTCTCATTAGCGATTGATTTCAAGTTGCGATAGACTCAAATCAATCGCAACTCTTCACTAGACAGGACCCTGATCTATCACCTCCAGCAGAATTAAAAGCCTTTACTACCTTACTTCCTCTTAATAACTGCAATTATTCATATTGGAGTAAGGCTAAGGTACTTTAATAATTCAGTATGTACTTGAATGACAAAATTAGATCTGTAATATGCATCAGATACATCCGCTAGCAAAAGAATATGATGCATGGTTGTCTGTCCCATGTTCAAAAGTTAAAGGATCCTCATTTTCTTCATCAAAATCAATGTAAACAAACTCCACGGAAGCAATTACAGGAACCGGAATAATCAAAAGAATGAGGAAAGTTTGGCTTGCGGTCTCTTTTCAAGCATTGACTTCCATGAAACGTGACCTTCAACATAAATCAACTTTTTTACTCTTACGAGGAATGAATGCTCTTAAAGGCATCACACCCTCCAGGCAGAGCGATTGTATTTCAATGTCAATGGCAGCTCTTTTTCACATTAAACCAAAGCCTGTATTGAATCAATCTATAGAAACACTGGGTAATACCCTGAACGATGCATAAATCTAGCATACTGCAATGACATTTCACGGTAGGTAGCGTACAGGTCATACCTAATCTCAGTAAAGACTTATGGGATTGTGATTTTCAAACATTCTATTGAATAAAATAAATAATAAATCATGAACTTAAGAATTGAATGCTAATCAGCCCTTACTTTTGTGACTTATAGTGAAATAGTGAACTGTCAAGTGAGAAATAACCATATATCTCTGTTATTGAATAGGGAGGGTCATTTGGAAACTAGCATACCTGTTCTGTAATGTACTGTGCACACTCTTACTACAATTTATTCAAATATGATTCAGTCATGTCCAATCTATTCACACAAGTCTCTCATTACCACATTCTTTACAATCAATTCAGTTCACCAAATTGATTAAAAGTAAACTTAAGCAGCACTTCTGTTCATTGTATAGTTCTTCTTAAATGATATCTTGTAAGCATCGTTTATCCCTTTACTCTTTTTCAGCAGACTGAGCTTTTATTGTTAATTATATTGTGACGCACTTAGGTTGCGCCCATTCATCAAGCCAGTGTGGCTTTTGCGGATGTACCTTTCTCGATTCTATACTTTTTTTGGTTTTATCTTGATAAGTTTTTTTATCAAGATTACTTTAAGTAGATTTAATTATGTCTTCTTTTTCTTTTTTCCCCAATGTATATTTCAATGTATTTTTCTTTGCCTATTTTTAACAACAATGTATGATGTCATTTTTACTGTGTTTGGAAACAAATGAAATTCAATTCAATCCCTCTCTCTCTAACACAATATGCGCGCACATACAAACGCACACATACACACACTCTCTCTCTCTCACTCTATCTTTTTTCTGTCCCCTCTATCTCTCTCATTCTCTCTCCCTATCTCCTCCTCCTCTCTCCCTACCTCCCCCTCTCTCTGTCTAACACATGCCTAGCCTACAATATACATTTTTACCTTCCCTTTATCATTCTCATTCTCTTTTTTTCTTTCCTACTTTTTTGTTTTAGTCGATCTCTTTGTCTCTCCATCTCTGTATGGAAGCCTTGCACATTTTGAGTGACAGGACCCGTTTCTTTGGACAGGAGTATCGAAGGATGATCTGGAGTGGTCTTTTAGGGGATAGCTAATACACCATGAGTCATTCTCAGGATACCATGTTTAACCCCACTCCAGACGCCCAGTGTTTGCCAAGCGAATCAAACCCAGGTCCCACCCCACTAAGGATGGAAAAGAAGGGGGTTAATTTGCATGGGCTACTTCAAGATTCCCCCGCTCTCCCCCATTCTCAGGTTCCATGCCATAATGAAGGGACATGTCCTGTCTGTACTAGGAGCAGGCAAAGAAGGCAGTGGGACTCTGGGGAATGGAGGGACATCTAGTTTCGTTACACTTCGCAGGAATTATGATGCTTTCAGATCATATTCACATTTTCTTACGCCACTCGAGTTGGATGTGCTAGGGTTTTGATGGGAACTTATGTTTCAGCAAACAGAGGAGGGGCAGTGATTCATACTTGGACTGAAGTCACCTCGGAACAATGGAATAACCACTGTCACATTACCTCGTTCAAAGCTTATCATCCCCATGAACTCCATTGCAACTTCTCTTCAATTGTTCTGCAAAGTTGGTGTCCATTTTAACTTTTTATATGGGATCACACTTTCTTCTTTGAAAAGAAATATGTTATATTTCAACATAATGCTATTTGGTTCCAGATTGGTATATATTCTGAATAACTGGTCCATATTACAAGAAACATTTTCTTCTACACTTTAGGAAAGCAATAAAGGGCACTTGCTTGAATAATTTTTTTTTGTATTAAATAGAAATTAGAATGAATATAAAATCAGCATATATACATGAGATAAATAATTTGATTGTACACATGTATATTGCAGAAGAGGTATAAACTGTATGTAGGCCTAGATGCATTTACTTGAATAAAATCATTAATCTTGGGCACAATTTCACTGGCAGGTGAGAGTATAAAGTTTAGTATTGATTGTGCCCAACGTTCACACACTCCAGAAAAATGATCAAATATCCTCACATCATTCAAAAATATTCCAATCCCCATCTCCCTCCCATCCATCAAAATCCCAACTTAAGTTTGATTAGAAGCAAACAGTGAATCGTCTCTTTAAACATCTCGTCTTGAAGAAGATCAAATACGTCAGGTCCATTATAACTGACTCATTCTAAGCTATGATGACAGTAATCCCACTGTAATTGGGCCTTCAACAGACATACAGCCAAATCCCCATCAGATCGGGCTTTAACAAATTCTATATTTTGCCTCCCCATCATTCTTGGGGGATGAATATGAGAGCTTGATGCAGTGTTTTATTAGCAAGGAGCTCCCAGTGTTTGAGTTAGACAGTCTTGACATGTTTATTTTATCGGCCCAGCAAATGATGTGTTGGCATATTGTAAATGATGTGTAACAATTTCTCTCTCTTTCATAACCTCCCCCCCCCCCCCCCTCCTCTCTCTCTCTCTCTCTCCCTTTCCCTCTTCTTCTCCCTCTCCCTCTCCCTCCCCCTCACTCCCTATCTCTCTCAATCTCTCTTTCCCTCTTCTTCTCCCTCTTCCTCTCTCTCCCCCTCACTCTCGATCTCTCTCTCCCTTTCCCTCCCTCTCTCTCACTCTCTCTCGATCTCTCTTTCCTTTGAACTTGAACTATCCTACATGAACATCTTGTCTCTTTCTCTCAAAGCTTCCAATAATTTTCTGCCACTCTCTGTAAGTTTCTTTTACATCTCGCAACAATAATCTGCTGATCATTTTGAAGAGGCAAGTTATATTCATGAAAGTTTCAGCATAATTGTTGTGAAGAAAGACATTTATTAAATGATCTTCATTTTTAGAATATAAAAGTTATCTCCTGTAGATATTAAGTCCCTTCCAAAATTCTAACATCTTTGTGACTGTTGAAAAACTCTTGTGAAAATCATCTGCCCTCCCATTTGCATATACTTACCAACACTGTTTCAGTGTTCATTGAAATCAATTACGTAAGCATCAACACATCCCATGTATAAATGCATGAACATCATGTCAACCAAACACAACTTTACACATACTAATAAGCCAAGGGGATACATCCCACTTGCCTGATCACACTCTTGGTGTTTTCCCCCTTTCCCTTTTCTCAAGCTTTTAATCACAGCAAGGGGAGATCAAATCAACCATCCTGAATATGTACACATGAGCGAGGAAAACAGACTCTCTAAAGCAACTCGGCGATGGGAAAATCACAAATATCAGGAGCAGAGTTTGACACGGCTGACATTTGGGGTAAACATGTTGCCGCTTCATCCTATGAAAAGTTTATAGAAGGATTTGGTTGAAACGGACAGCATTAATTCGCTTCTCTTTGCACCCCATGAGGTGTTTCTAATATCCTGCAACCAGACCTACTAGTCATCAATAGAGACTAACATGCTCAAGTTTAAAGAGTCACAGCAAGGTGGAATTGTAGTGCATATGTTTCTACTGACAGATAAAACCTATGAAACACTTTAACCTGATGACCACTTGGTCTGACATACATTTGGCTGGTGTTTCATTTCTGGAGTCTAACATTATTTAGCTGAAATTCTATCTTATCCAACAGGAATTTCATATGTTCACTAATTACATAGAAGTGCTGAATAACTCTTTGGAGGCGTTGGGGTCTAGTGAATAAATCACATGGACTGTAGATCCTAAGGTGCAGTGTTTGAATCCCAGTCAGGCACTATAACTTCCTTCAGTAAGACAATAATCTACATTTGGCACTCTCCACCCAGGAGTGAATGGGTACCCAATATGATTGAGCACTAATTACTTTGGTTGATCAGCTACAGCCAGCTAGGTAATGATGCCTACATAAGTGCCCTGAGCACACTATGTAACGGATATGAGTGCTATAAAAGAAGCCATTATCATTGGAGGACCTCTAGTGCTCAAGTGAATCAATCAGTCATTCCTGAAGGTATAAGGTTGTAAAGAATGAGAGAGAACCACCTAAGAGAAATAAACTTACTTGCAAGTGTGACATGAGCCTTGCGGCTTTCAATGAGTCCTAGAGCCTTCACATAGCTGGTACAGTAGTAGACACCCGTCAGCTGTTGAGCAGGAGTACCTGCCATGATCTGTAATGCTCCCGTTGGTAGAAGGTTGTAGTACTGTGAATTACGTACATTAATATAATTCTCATTCTTGTACCATTCAATGTCGACATCATCTGAAAGTTGGGCGGAGCAGTTGAGTGTAAGACCGGTACCATTGACCACAAGAGCATCGCGAGGTTCCATGGAGAAGCGATGATTGCTGAAGCGGTACTGAGATGATCCTGGGTAATGGAAGGAGAAAAAACATTAAATTTTTAAAAATACAACCAAATACATTTTGAATTTGGGCTAAAGTTGGATTTAAATACTTTTACCTTTTCTTTTTTGTTTCTAGAACGATGTTACCTTCATACAGATGGTTGCTTGTTAGTTAATGATCACTTTATAGTGAAAGTCATTTTACATATTATATAGTCTCACTTCTAGCACGACAGTGACCTCATATCTAAGGTAGATAGCAAGTAGGGTTAAATCACTGTGTATGTCATCCACACTCAAATGATCATATTCAGATTAAATAATGTCCTTTGCTTTACACAACTCCCTTGATTTAAAGTGTAACATTTAAGTCAATTGGCCTTTAGGATTTAAAGTCACTAAAATTACTTTAGCGTTTGGAGCATCATACATAATTACATATGTAGTAATTTTTTTGTTATAATAGGCTTTATAGACAATGATGTATAATCAACTTGACAAGTAAAAGCCGTACGTGTTAACTTTGGTTAAGACATTCAATTTCATGAAAAACATTTGAAGGGTCAAACACCTGTGTACTGAATGATTACATTTCCTTTGTTTGGAATATTTCCCTAAATGGCAGTCATTGCTGTCAGTGAATGATGGAGAAGCGTTGATCTCCATCGCCTAACCGCTATGCACTCAGTGGTGATACACAACTTCCTTCCTCTATTCATCTACAATTGACACTTTGGAGACAAAAAGGTTCAAGCCCCAGGCAGGGTACTGACTTTCAAACCAAAATGTCCCTGATTTTCAAACACCCGTCCTAGACCTGCAGGGCCTCCTCCTTAAGTTGAGATTCAAAGTTGTCCTCTAACAAATTGCGCACAAACTGCAGCCAAATTGGACTGAGTCATCGCGTGAAAACACGCTCCAGGGAACGTGGAGGGTTTTATAGTCGATACTCTAATCTGGTTGGGGCAAAGGAAGAAAAGTACCAGAAGCCCCAAGGTTGATTTGATTTGATCCGGGAGACAGGGGCAACTCAGGGAAGAAGAAGAAGAAATCTGGCTATGAACAAGAACAAGAACAACAAGAACAACATGAAAAAGAAGAAGAAAGAAGAAAAAAAGAAGAAAAGAAGAAAAAGAAGAAAAGGAAGAAAAAGATGAAAAAGAAGAAAAATAAGAAGAAGAATGAGAAGAAGAGGATGGAGAAGGAGTAACAGAAAGGTAAAAAATTGAAAGAATGCAGATGATGGAATGAAGATATCTATCAAACTTGAGAGTGCACACAGGAAAAGATTGTGTTAATTAGGGCATGCCTAAATTTGTGTTGAGAACTAAAAGTTGGGAAAGTCTATGGATTAGTTGTGCATTGACCTAAAATCATGAGATAAACCATCAAGAGATTAACCGTAAGGACGGATCAGAGGGGCGAATACACTTTATACAGCAGATTCCATAGATGAAAAGAACGGAAAAGGGTGTTTGGTAAAAAATAGCGAGACAATGATAAAATAAGACTTTGGACAGGACTTGCAATTTCACATCATTGGATTTCATGTTGACATGCTGGTAGAAAAATATGGCCTATGTCAACAAAAGATCATAGAAAAATGCAATGGAGAGTTGAACGGGTCGGTATAAAGTTATCATAAATGTCTATGGGGTGAGGGATGCTTTAAGTTTAGAAATATATTTCCTTTCCAGATCCTCCCACATGAGGGTATTAACTTGATGAATTGCCATTCCATAATTCCTTGACCTAAAACTAAAAGCAATTTCATGAGCAAATTGTCTACCTTGCTCTTAAAAACCATGCATTATGCCTAAGGTGTCATTAACTTGAAAGAGAAGCAGGTCTTCTACCAATTAGACCAATTAGCCTACTGTCCAAAATTAGATGAGTTAAATCATCCATCATCAATCTCGACAAACACATGTTCAGGCACAATGAAAGAGATGCCAGTACCTGTAACATTGATACAAAAAGCCATGTTTTTACTGTTAAAAGTACTACCGAAAATGAGCACAAATCTCATCTAAACTGTCTCTCTCTCTCTTCTCTTCTCTATTCTTCTCTTTCTGTATGTATGTTTTTGTCTGTCACCATCTGTATGCATGTCTGTCTCTATCTGTCTGCCTGTCTGTCTGTGAGTCTGTCTGTCTATCTGTGTGGTTGGCTCTCTCCTTTCTATCCATCTCTGTCTCTCTCATACATCGCCTACACACCAATATACACATCTACTACAAGCCCGATTAGTCTTACATTACATCTGCAGCAGCTGGAATTCAAGGTTTTCCCAATGATCAGGTTTGGTCTGTATCAAAGGAGTATTTGTTTAACCCATCCATTACTTTTGTTTACCTACTATGTTATATTACACTTTGCATGGATTTTGAATCAGTTTCAAGGCCCAACTCTATTTGCACTGCTCAAATGAAACATTGCACTGTAAATATTCCCTGTCTCATTCATGCCGGATCAATACTGAGATATGCATCAAAGCAAATAAAACCCCAGTAATTCTGTGACTAATATTGAATTGGAAATCTAACTTGGACTATCATTTCTTTCTTACTAACCTACAAATTTCATCAGAAATACTTCTTATACATTTCTTTGGGGTTATCTTGTGTATGTCTCAGTAAGAATGTGCAAGCCTTATGATGTAGATTACAGTTTCTTAGATCAGTCTTTATGGATCGTATGATGAATGGAAGTCTACATTCTTTGGTTGTTTGTAATATTCCTCTTGCATGCAACAACGTCCAAAATGTTGACAACAAAGCAAGAACGATTATTGCAGTAGCGCTGATAATTGCATGGGACCTTTCGTTCAGGCATATCATATCTGGATAATCCTAGCAGCTTTTCTTATCACTCATCACTGACCCACAGACTCTCCCTTAGTCCCACTCATACTAATTGCTTGTCACAAAAAAGACATGCTGTTGGTGACAGACAACAGAATGGCTCGTTGCTGCATAAAATAAAAAGAGACTATATAAAAACATGATATAAGAGAGGATTTAAATACATAATTCATATCGATATATTTTTTTAAAAGGGTTAAATTTGACTGCTTACTCTAATCTCCTAAATATTGGATTTTTGTTGTTACATCAGGAATATCCATGGTATTATTTTTTATTTATTTATTTTGCTTAGATGTTAATGTACATGCATATCATTTTTAATCCCCATTCTATGCATGCAAGAGGAATCTAAGAAAAGTAGAGGTGTTGTGGTTTAATGGATAAGTCTTTAGACTGTGAACTACAAGGTAAAGGGTTCAAATCCTGCCGATGCACTAATGTCCTTTTGGCACGACATTAATCTACAATTGCCACACTCAACCCAGGAGTAGTAGGTGGGTACATAGTAGGATTCATTCTTTTAATGCATAGAGATGTTATATCATAATGTGATATGCACTATACAAGAATATTATGAGTGTTATGCTCCACAAAGTCTGCTGGCTTGGAACATTACTAATGCAGGTTGATAGGAGCATCTCTAGCGCCCCCAAGAGGATGCTATGCGGAAAGCTCTCATTCAAAATACATATTTCAGCACTGAGCGTCAAGGAATATGCGTAATTGCAAAAATGGATGAGATGGATTTAGAACTGGAGTAACTGCAGATGTGACCAGTTTGCCGAAGTGTGAAGTTACGGGCCACATGGGACAGTGGAAAACATGATGGAAAGATCCAATAATCCTTGGGAGTTCCACCAACCATGTCCATACTCAAGTGCAGAGGTCTATTCGTGAAGTGCCCTTTATTAAAGAGATGTATTTCATGTTTGCCTGCATATAATAAGCACAGATAATTCTTCCCGTTCATGCCAGTACTGAATAGATAAATACAGATTGACTTAATATTTATTGATCACTATAATTTAAGGAATTAGAGGTGACTGATAACAATTTAACACTTCATATTTCATTTTAAAAAAAATGTGTTTTCTCTCTCCCTCTCTCTTCATTCAAGATGATAAGAGCTTTGATATGATCATGAATATTATTCTTGCGTACAATTTTGCAGTCCACTCTTTTACAGCCTTACCCAAATCAATCAGGTAACCAAGCTTCATTAAAATAAGAGCTTTGAATAATATTCATTTCATGCAATTTGATGGATGGATACATGCAGGATTGCATCAGGTAAAATTGAAAACCTAAACACAGACATGTCAGCAAAAGAAGGCGTTGCCGTTTGAAAATGATATATTGTCATATCGAATATCGATGGGAAAGTGTTATTGCTGGGCAACCATCATGCAAGTAAGAATGTGTGCTTGATTAGTTTAGCTTACCTGGTCAATATTATTTCCAATCAAGAAAACTGATGGGACCAAGTAACAATCACGTTCTACATCTATTTCCTCTGGGACTGGGAATAAAACTTCTCATATCAATCTCTTTTAAATCATGATCTTTCATCCCAATCTTCTTAACTATCTTTATGTCTCAATCATTCTGGCTTTACAATCATCAATCCATACTGTCTTCCAGTACTGTCAATATTAGAATAATATCTGTAGATTCTATATTGCTGTGTAGCTGGTGTAATGATTCAGATAGATACATGGCCATTGATATATAATTATAGAAGTATGCATGTTGAGGTTTTTACCTGTTATTGACATCTGCACATCAAATGTCAGTACATTAGGTTATGATTCATTTGTATTATTTATTTATCCTTTTATTCAAAAACTAATATCTTGTAAAAGGTATTAACAAAACACATTTCTGACCTGTAATCATGTATCCAGTGATTTGCATATTAGAATAATATACATGTATATTTGTATTTTAAATGTCTGTTATGACAGGTTACAGATCTAATTTCTAATTATTCTATTTATTTTATAAACAAAGTCATCACAGAAAGAATGTTAGGGTAGGTAGTTAAAAACAGAGTTCTGTTATTGAGAATTCTCAATCGTATCATTCTTTTTCATTCATTTCCCAAAGAAACTAACATAGTGGATGAAAATATAATCGGTTGTCCATCATACTGAAAGAAACACACTGACG